ATTACCTGTTATTTGTTAAGAAAATGTTCAGAGAATAAAAGTACCTACCTACTTTTATCAAATAACTCAAACTAAAAAACGTTTTTAAAAGGATACATTTTTTGGACATGCCAGATTTCAGTTGATACTGACTCGGTGTAATAGCATTATGCGGACAGGAAATGGAATTCCTACACTGAAAACACGACAGTTCTCGCAAATACAAGGTATCACTGTTCGAACTGATCCAGGAAACTTGATGCAACTTCATGGTGTTAGGCAATGGTTGTATTTTCTTATCCTGTAGTAATTCCTCGACTTCTAATATTTCCGCTCCAGAAATTTGAAAGATGCTTGTCCTTTCAAGTTTTTCTTTCATTATTTCTAGAAACTGCTCAATACACGATACATCAATCAGTTCCCTGAGCGACACTCTGGTCAGCAGTTCGTTTGACAAGCCCCCCAACTCCATCTGCAACACTTTTTCCGTGACCACACTCAAAAAAATTCCAGGATGCATTTTTGAGCTCCAACTTTTCACAAAAATGTGCAAACAAATAAAAATTATTTTTGTTACGGTATTGGGTTGTGGGTCCGTCACTCATAACGTGGATTACTTTCGCACGTGTGTGTTCAGTTGTAATTTTCGAAAAAATTGGCAAAATATGCGCCCATATAGCACAAGGATCATGTCGAAGACAAGAAGAAGTGCTACAAAACGTTTGGCATTTGGTTACCCCGTTTTCTTTATAATAGTAGGCCCCAGTATGAAGACTTAATTGGACCTTTGAAGCTCCGAAATGGACACTTTGAACTTCATCAGTGTATTTAAAATTGTAGTTTTCCGAGAAGTCTATTATTAAGCAAATTTCATCTTCTGCCATTTCAGTTTTTACTCTTTTCAAAAAGAGACCCTGGTGATAAATGCGGTAAGAATGTTGTAAAATTTTTGGAGTTTCGTTATTAAAAACATTGATCAATTCTTCAGCAGTGGCATTTAGCCTTAATTTCTTCGTCACTTTTACAATTTTCAATTTATCCTTGATGACTCTGCTCTCTTGTATGGTACGCCATTGATAATAGTGTAATACAGTGGTGGGTTCAACTCTCTGAAAACTGATTTCAACGGTCTTTACTTTACAAATCTGGCACATTCTGTACATACAACTCTTAGATATACTATCACAGCAAATAAATTCAGAGAGGTTTAGGAGAGAATTGATATTGATAACTAAATACTGTCTTAATGTCCGAATAAGGAAATTAAAGTTTGAATGTTTTACACAAAGGCACGTATCTCTCTGTGTTAATTTCGGAGTAACGACCCAAAATGGTTTAAGTCTTGTGAATGTAGTATAAGAAACTTTGACATTATTTTCATTTTTAAACTTCCTGTAAAGGTTATAAAGAGTATCAGTGAGTAATCTCTTTTGTTTGGTAATACTATTCTTGGTCAGAGTGTCATTTTTTCCTGGAGTAACAATGGAATTGGGATCACTGCAGAGGAAACTTTGTACCTGACACTTTAGCAGTACTGTGAGCGATTTTCTTTTTCTCTTGTTGTAATTTATTTTCTTATCGTTGGTTAAAAATTTTCGTTGGTTGTACGTAGAGGCCAAGTTTTTCATAGCATTCATCAGCTTATATTTTTTTATTAATCCTCCAGAAACGCATGAAGACAAAACTTCTTTTTGTTGTAAAGTGGTGCACGTATTTTTATTCAACTCGATTTGCTTAGTTAAAACTTCGCCAATGAGTAGTTTCTTCTGTATCTCCTCTCTTAATAACCTCTTCTACTGCTTTTTTTGGAGTTGGTGGCTCATTATTTTTGACTTTATTTTTTAAGTAAAAATATTTGTTTTTCCATTTTACAGTCATCTTTTCTTGCCGCTTCCGCAAATGTCTTTCTTTTAAAAGCAAATTTGAAGTTTTTGAACGTGTACTCAACACTTTTTTTCTGCCTAATTTAATTTTGATACTAACAGATGGTTGTGCGTCGCCGAGTCCTTCAGTATTGTTTTTATTTAATTTCTTTTTTGCTTGGTAAGTATGATTATTTTTTCTCCACATCTTTCTCTGTTTTCTTTGTTCCCTTTTTGATCGCTCAGAAATCGGTTTAAGCTTTCCCTCCAATTTTCTTTTCTGGTACCGTTCACGTTCTTTCTCTTTTTCCCTTTGATACATCATCGCATCCGCTTTAATCCTTTCTCTTTGTCTTCTTTTTCTTTCTCTTGCCATCTCTCTTTGTCTGTCGGAGTCCACGGTCGACATTTTTTTAGTGATTTTCTTTTTCTTTTTAGTTGATTGAAGCGGAACTCTTTGAACTTTTTTTTGTCTCCACAGGAACCTTAATGTTATCATTCGCTAGCCATTTTGATTGCAAAGGACCATTTTTATCGGATACAGGTTGCTGTTTTTGTTCAATCTCAGCTTTAGTCTCCTTTTTTCTCGCCTTTTTTAGTTTAGTTTTTAACGCTTTGTTTTCATCCCGGCGTTTTGCTGCCTGCTCTCTCATAATCCTTAATTTATTTTGAAGTAAAATCAGCCGTTCATTTTTTGGTTTGGTTCTGTCTGGGGTTTTTAAAACGACTGTCACTTCTTGATTTGAAGTACTCGGAATACATAGGGAAAGTGACGTACTTGAATCCATCATGAAACTAAGAAGACTCTCACCTATATATAATATACGATACCATAAACAACATGATACCATCTATACTCCGTTCTAACATTACCGTCCCGCCCATAACATTACCGTCACATTTTACCCTTTCTGTAAACGTGACGGTAATGTTCGTGACGGAAATGTTTAATTACAAGTAAATAGCCCCTAGATGTTTTTGAAAATGGCAGTAAAGTTTAAGGTTAGGGAAATTTCGTTGTTGGCGGGGTTGGTATTATTAATAAAATAAAAGTATTATGATAGGTATCATTATAACTAAATGGTCTTATGGGACGGTAATGTTGAGAGAAAAAATATTTTACACAAAACATACCTTTAATACAAAACCAGCATGAGAAACAAGAAAACTTTTTGCACTCTTGACATCCAGCATTGACTCAATAAGCTAAGCGAGCTGTGGAACTAAGCAAGAGCGACACGTGCGCGATCTGTCGGTAGAAATGGGCAGCTAAGCTTGGAGTGACGGTAATGTTAGCATTAATGGGTTTATTTAATATTATTTTAAAAAATAAACAAATTATTATTACCTGGTGTTTTAAAATATGAACTGAGTAAAACAAACGTTACCAGAATATAAAACAATATTTACTTTTTGCAATTAGGGTAATATATAATGAAAATTTAAAGCGAAAGTTAAGAAGTTCAAAAAGTTGACCGTGACGGTAATGTTAAAATGGAATTTTAAAAATAAAAAAAAATCACAAACTGAAATTTGTGTTTACTTTTTTTCTATTAATTAGTATACACAACAATGTCTTAATAGTAAAAAAAATAATATGCTTTGATACCGTTCTAAATAAAGATTTGGTAGTGCGGTATACCTAAAGTTAAAGGTTATTGAAAAAGACCCGGGTAACTACAGTTAAAACCCTAATTCAATATCAATGGACAAAATGCTATGTGATGTTTTGAAAATATAAGAAAGAGATTAAGATTCTCTATTAACCTTACTAAAAGTAATTAAGTAAGTAATTTGAATAAAAATAAAAAATTTTAATCCAAAATTCCAGATTAATGTTTACTGATTGGTTTGATGCCCTAATCCATAATTCAAAATCGTTGTAACGGTTACCAATTCATAATATTAATGTTTACAAAATTGACGATCGCTGTTTATTAACTTTACGTAAGTACAAAATTTTGTTCTGTGTATATCTTTAAAAGCATTCAGTTAAAAATTCATAAGAGCCCATACTTTTTAACACAAAGTACCTCCAGTCAGTTTGAACCATATAATCAAATATTAAAGGCCTTGCCGTAAATCTCCCAACTACTTGCAAGCTGCACTGCGCATAGAAACATGTACATATTACTACCGTAAATGCAAGTAGACGTTCTTCGTCTACGAGAAGATAGTTTGAAATTAGCTATTCTCGCTCGGTTATCTGCCTGAAAGCGTAACGTTGAAAAATCATAAAATTAAGAGTAAAGCGAGATTGTTAGTATAGAGATTTATGTTTCAAAATTCGTCTTACTTAAATTTAATTCTGCGAACGAACTCCGAGATAAACTGAGCACATTCCATCAAAATGTAAAAGCCATTTGCTTTATCTCCAATTTCCTTTATTATAATACTTCAATCTATTACAAAACTTTTGATGAGACAAAAATTATGCACGCCTGTCCTCTTTTATTAAAAACAATCAGAACGATGCTACTTTTAGAATACCCAAAGTAAATTAACTGTCTGATGAAGCTTCTCTATAGGAGCGTTATTTATTTGTATGTCGGACCGGACGCATGTGTTATTCAACTAGTTGGAGCTTTCATTTAGGTCGCTTTTACCAGTGTGCTAATTGATTCATCTACCATAATAAAATAACGCTACGATTGTACTACACTAACGCCCTTATGGAACTGCCGCATTCAGTCTACTCGGTGTAGGAGCAAATTGTTTTGTGGTATTAAATTGGACATCCGACGGAAAATTTTATTTTCTATGAATCAACTTTGGGATTCAGCTATTTGTGGGTGCCAACTTAACCGATCGGTGTTAGTGATAAATGCACATTTCCCCATATTTACGCTTAAAAAAGCTTTTTTTATAAAACAATTCAATATTTCAATATAATGATATCAATAACATATGACATTAAAGGCAATACTTTGTACGTACTCACGGCTTATCATTTATTTATCCCGAACTCTTCCGTTTCGTCTGTTCAAGCCCAGAAAACTGTACGTTGCACATAGAATACTGCAATAATATCCGTTCAATCTTTTGGTACCAGCAACACTTTTTAAACTAGGCCAAGTTTATTATTTATAATATCGAAGAGTTACTAATACAGTTGTAACTAAATTGAGTTGAGAATAACACCATTTTTTTTTGTTACAGATTTCTGCCATCACCAGCTTTTGTAGAGTAAGTACCGAATTACTTATGTTCTGATTTACGAGGTATGAATTGAGTTACCCCCAGAAGGGGATATATGCGTATTTTACAAATTAAGAGACAGAATTTTTAGTAAAAATGAATGGATGTTCACAATATTCACTATTCATTACTTTGCGTTTCGTATAAGTGACAACATACACCGCTTTTGAATGGTTTCTTGCGACAACCAAGTGTTTATAAAACTGAAAATAGAGCTATATAATTGTCTTATCGTAATAGTATATTAAGAAACAAGTTCCAAAAAACTATCTTTAAGAAAACTCGTCCTAATTTATAATAATAATATAATAATAATTGTATTTATTGTTCAACAGAAAATAATTTCAGTAACAGAACAATATAAAATGGAGCATAAACTGCAGTGTTAGAAATATCACACAAGAAAAAAATAAGGAAAAAAAATGTGATGCTATTGACATGGGTAACGAAAGGGAGATATGACTGATTAATTTGTAAAGTAAATTAAAGAGAAAAATTGGATTTGTGATTTCTTAGAGATATCACATGATTTGCAACCGTTTACTTTGCAAGTACTTATGTCGTTTATGAACCTATGAATAATTGCATTTTATAAGACAAATCAGTGTCTCGTTTCAAGTTAATTGTTCATAGTTCAGGGTCGAAAATGTCCAAAAATGACACTAACCAATAGAAAAATGTAGACATAGCCATTTTAAGGAATGTTCCATAACTATACGAGGTAACTAAGGGGATGGTTATTTGGAGAGATTTTTCAGGTTTTTTAACCATAAAAGTGTCGAACGATTCGTTAAATGAAACATTACATACTATCGGAAAAATGTTCAATAGAATTTCAATAAAGTGAAACCTCAACAACGATTGTTGCATGGCTTTAAACTTTACAAAGGTAATTAAGCAGTTAAACATTTTAACGCAGCAAGGGAAATTAAAACTTAATAACGTTTGTAGTTACCAAAGTGCATAAACAAAGATTATTGTTTGGTCGAGAAAGAATACGTCAGATAAAGGAGTCTCTTAATATATCGTGCTCAAAAACATTTGTTTGCATTCATCGTGTTTTAAATTACGAAGTGAACTGAATAAACGTTGCCGTCGTCAAAGTAAAATATTAGCAATAAATTTGGTAAATTATAAAAATTCTGTGTAAAACAAATATAGCGTACCTCTACTATTACATTCAAATTACAAAAAAAAACTGTTAGTGGAACCCCTGCAAGTAATCACCGATTCACATTATCGGTCACGTCACGGTCAGATCAGGGACCGGTAACTGTGTGGTCAAATATTATAACGTGTGTTCTTAAAGCCAATTAACATTATCGGTCAGATCACGGTCAGAACATGTTCATAAAAAATACACGCTACAATAATTGACCGCACCGTGACCGGATTGTGATCTGACCGTGACATGACCAATAATGTGAATCGGCCATAAATATATCCTGATATATCCAGATATAACCAGAGCTAACTTGTTTTGTTTCGTTTTCCGATTTCCCAATCTGCAGCTTACCGTCGGATTACTATATGCACTGTCCTGAAAATCAAGGTAATGAAGTTATCAGAATAAAAGAATTTAACTATTTCATTGGTCTGTATATGAAATTTAACCTGTATGTTTACCACCGTATTGAATTTGAACGGGATATAAGAATCAGATTTTTGTTCCATAGAGTTTCATTCAGAATTTCGATAAATCTGCCAAATTCATGGGCCCATAATTACCGACTTTATCTTATAAAATGCGCAGAAAGAAATGTTAGATGTATATCTACTTATATAAAGAGACGGTCAATTTAATTTAATTAAGTTAAAGATTCTTGTAAGATATACTTATTTGTAAAAAATTCATGGAGAAAGGAAAGTGCAACTCAGTTAAAGTTGTGGAATGAATTGATTTTCAATATACAGTTAAATGGCCAGGCGGTGTTTTCCTTTTATAGACAAGCGATAGAAGTTAAAGAAGGTTGTGGTTAATTTCAATTTACAGGATAGATTTGTAATAAGAATTCACCTAAAACATCTAATGTTTTAATATACATATTGACCTACCCGCCGGAAAAAGAATAGTTAATTTAATTAACAAAGCTGCGAGCTTTACGTAGAAATTTTAAATGTTAAGTTCAGAAGGGAAAATAATTTAACCTCTATAAGACAACCTGTTGTACTTTCAAAAAAGGCATAATTATTTCGGTTGTTTTCTTAAAATTAAAGCAGGTATCTACTTCTTCAACAAAATAAATAGTTCCAGAACAACAAAACTTAGCAATGAGCACATTATTTGGGGATGTGGTTATAAGACCAAGAGATAACGGCAGATTTTTAGCGATGATTAGTAAACGTCTGTCCCCGCAATTTTCTCATTACATAGGTTAGAACTAGCGTGTAAGCGTATATTATATCTGTTGAGCAGTTAGTTCTCTTTTTATGTAATTTTTTTAATTTTGACAGCACAATAAACATAAGTTTATTAATAAACATCTGCCATCAATTTTAAAATAATATTGGAGAGAAAAAATAATAAGGTGGTAGCACATTAACAGACGCTTTTCGTTTTCTATTCGCTTTTGTAACATATATTATGTAATTTTTCAGTCGTCATTTCTTGGTCTATTAAGTGGAGTGCAAATTTAGGGGTATCGGCTTAATTCAGATGATTTTGCATCACTGAAACGAAAGTATTCACCAATCTCTTCACAATAATTGACTTGTTACTGCTATATTCATTACAAAGTTAATGAGTTTTATAAGAAAAGAAAAGTATGGGTACAGGTATTGATTAATTCCTCTCGATGAAATTTTCAAAACAAAGAGTCTTTATCTAAAGTTCATTCTCCGGACTTTCCAGAGTGTCTAAATATAATCCCATTTTATGTGGAAAAGTAACTTTGCATTCAACGTCACATCTTTTCTCCCATTTTTGCTTTATAGGAGAATTTTATTGCATGCACGGCATTTTATTGAATGGAACTTATTGTACTGAACTAAAACACATTTCAGCCTTTGGAATTTTTGTCAACTTGTAAAAGTATCGGACATCTTCCTTATTGGAAACCCTTCTTGGTATGCATGAACTACAGAGCATTTCGATGTGATACATTTACCCGCACTAGCCAATAAAGTAAGGAAATATATTTCGAGAGAAAACGCAGGTCGGTAAACTTTGACTTATCGTTAGAGATGTAAATTTTGCGAAATTATATAAAAGTTGCATTTAAGAAAGACTGTTTATTTCTCGCAGGCGACGAGGTTTCCGAGTCGTTCATAAAATGATCACATTCCCTGCGTTGTTTAAACATTTTTATTTCTTTAGAACCCTAGAGATTTCAACATAGTCGTCATCTCATGAATGTTCTATTCCCTCTGCATAATTTAACAGACAAGAACCAATGTGCGTAAAAAATTCGAAATGTGCAATTTGCTTGAATTTTGTATGAACATTTATTTAATGTTGCAGCCATAAAGTAACCGCCTAATAGCTTTCTAAATACTTTTGCTAAATATCTTCCGAATCCCTGACGTCTTCATAGTAAGCAAAGGAATCGGGTAGGTAAAACAGACGAATGTTTAGATCTCGCAAAAAAGCGCTGCCCTTTAAAAAAAATAACTTCGGTGTGCATTTTCAGTTAATTACGCCGAATAAGCTGAAGTAGATATCTGCGCAAATTACGACTAAAATTTAACAAGCAACGTTAAATACGGTAAGCAGATTTCATGAAATAATGTTTGTAAAATTTTCTTTGGAAATTTTTTTATGGAAATAATGAGTAGGGTATTTAACCATTTCATCTCGAAATTTCCTTTTGTGTAGTGAGGCTGTAATTCCCAACTCCTAAATCTGATTATAAAAAGAACTTCTAAAAACTGGCTTAAAAAAGAAATAATTGAAATAATACTTCCCCTCGTCAAATTTAAATGAGGATAAAATGCCTTTCTCGTGTTAATTGTTATACTATGAAAACTTTACTAATTTGTATGGGTTCTACGGAAATAATTTAGATTTGCACGTACATACCTAATGAGTTTTGTTTTGGTGCAAAATATAACGTCCACACAAAAACCATTATCAGATGTTCAACAGCATTGCCATTGTTTGGACGACTAGCAACTTTTCTAACGACTAAGGACTTTGTAGCCTCAAATGAATATACACTGTAACCAAGATAACGTTAAAATATTTTCAATACAACGTTTCGTTTCGGAGAAATCATCATCAACTTTATTTTTTTATATGGCCCGTAAAAAAGTAACATCTTTTATTACGAATACAGCGATATACAGCACTAAAAACAAAAGTTGGAAACTGTTCGTTTCGACAGAATGGTGCAGACAATTTCCATACAATTGCTGCAATCTCCAGACAATTTCCGCAATCGTCGTGCAATTGCTACAATCGCCAGAAAATTGCTGCAATTATCGGAGAATTGCTACAATCAACTGACAATTTCTACAATCTATGCCGATAAATAAATAATAACGTGTCTTATGGACAGTAGCTATTACATGAAAGATGAATTTAAGATTCATTTATTAAAATAAATAACAGACAACAATGCGAGCTCTGTCGTTTTCCTCGATGGTAAAAGGTCTCAACAAAAGGAACTGTTTTATCCTTCGTGGTACTCTAATGAAAGGAATAATTTCTATCAACCATAGTCCTTCTTCTCGACCCCTTATCGTGATCCGATATAATTCCTTATATGTCAAGAGCAGATGGTCGGTGGACTGGTGGAGGGTACTCACAAAGGGTGATTATGACGTCTGAAAGAAATATGGTGATATCAAAAGTTTACGAGCGAATATCTCGAAAACGGTTTATCGCAGGAAAGTACTCACAAAGGCGAAATGAATCGTCTGGGTGAGACATATCTATTGGTGAAGTCAAAGCGAATATCTTCAAAACAAAGTGTCGGAAGAGGGTACTCATAAAGAGCAAGTGGGACATCAGGACGAGATACAGCTACTGGCGATGTAAAAACTTAATTGTGAATATCTCGACAATGTTGGACTACAAAGGAAAATGCAATATTTCGGATAATTTCCCTAAGGACTGGATTCAGCTTGCGTTATATATCGTTTGAATGTACGCCAGGCAGCCTTTAATATAATGTACATTTTATAAGACCGCTTCACTATTTGTATATATTTTAGCTACGACCTGAAGATGACAATACTCAAAAATGAAAATGAAATTCTTCTTATAAACAGAAATTGAAGTAGCACGTCAAAAATGGATTGCACATGTGTAACGCTATCTTTCATATTTGTGGCCGGATTTTTACGATTTTAACAGAAGTTGCACCTTACAAATGGGAAATGAATACAAGTGGGAATGCGCTTTTTGTAAATCGTTTACGATTACTTTTTAACTTGTTAGATTTTAAACTTCTCCCACAATGTTACCTTGATGAGATTCAATACATTCCACGACAAAACCAGATTTCCACAAGTCAGATCTTTTCATTATTAACAAGCGACAAAAAGCGAGTTTATGATTTTGAACTTTCTACCCGTCCGTCCGTCTGTGGACACGATCACTCACAAACGGTTTGGAATTTTCCAATTCTTTTTTTTAGTAATAGGTAAACAATGGTCAAGGGACTAATTGGTTACATTTTGTTCAATATTCGTCAACCGGAAGTAACTTTGTCACTCGTTGTCTATATTGGTGCAGCTTATTTTATTTATTGACGCGAGTTTTCTTAGATCAAATAATTGGGCAATCAGCATGTAGGGCAATAAATAAATTAAATTAAATCATCATATATATTCCATAGATATAGTGTTCAGCCATTTTTTAAAAAAAATGTCTCCATTCGTTGCTTATTGGTCGAGTATAAAAATTCAACAAACGTTGAATAAATGCCAGATTTCTTATGCACAAAACAAACATAGTCATAAGGGAAACGTAACAATTTTAGCTGTTATCGTTCTATAAGTTATGTCTTCTTATTTTGTTTTGCAGGTATTCGTTGTAATTCACGGCATCCAGCATATAAATCATTTTGAAAAAGAGTTTATAGTTGAATAACGATATAAGTCTTTCGGTCCTTTTCGATGGATTGTGCAAAACATTTACCGAATTCAGTTTTCAGCATTGCGCTTCGCTTCCTAAGGAGAATTGAGCCCCTTTCATTACTATACTAGTTATACTACTACTTGTAATAGTTTATTCGTATCCTTTATAAAGTTGTTAACTTACTGGAACTGGCCATTAAGGCGTTTGCATTCTAGTGTTCAGAGGGTTTAGAGTGTAAGCCGTAAAATATGTACCTCTACATTATTTGGCGTTAACAGTGCAGCACGGAGATAAAGCATTTCAGGAAATTGCAATTTAAGATTTAAGTTTACTAAAGTCTAACGTAATTCTTGTTATAAATTAGGAAACAAACTTGCAAAATTTGCATAAACTTCCAGTTTGGGGTTTAATACAAACGAGTATTTGACGCAGTTGATGGTTAATTAATTTTAACTTAAACGGCGACTAATTTAGTTACTTACAAGTATTACCTTGGGAAGAAATGTAAATTTAAGTATTTGGAGTTTGAGAAAAGCAAGGTTGCACTGTAAGGTAATTTTAATCTAATTACCTATGTACTACTATCGAGACAAAGGGGTTTAATATAAAAATTAACGAATTAAGGGAGATACCCTTGTTTGCATGAATACACCACTTTATGTTCATATACTACGAGTAGTATCTGAGAATTGAACACGAGTCTTCTCAGTTCGTAGTCTAGTGTCCTAACGGCCTAACCTAAGCGTTTTCCGTCTATACCGCTACTCAACCAGCAACATGCTTGGTGTTAGCCGAGTACTATTATACGGTCAGACAGATTCGAAGGAACGGTAGGTTCTGAAGAATCATAATCTGACAAATTTGAATTAGGACCCATAAGGACCCATCAAGAATCTTTTGCATCTAAAGAATTTTAAAAGCTCCAGAATTGAATGAATTTGGAGAAACGGAGGCATCTATAGAATCACAAAGATCTGAATAATTTTCAAAAATAAAAGTATTCGTATAATATTAATGCAGTGAATATTCCAGAAATCCCAATACCATCGAGGAACCATGGAAGATTAGTCATCGGCGATAATGTACAAATGCGCATGTGACGTAATCTTTGCGGGACATATGACGTGTTTGTTCGCGAACATTCTCGAATACGCGGAAGCGTTCGGGAACTTTGAAGAGGTACATGAGCAAACTATAATTGCGTTTCAAGGAGTTCCAATTTCATGTATATGTGACCGATAAATAATACTTTAACCGTTATAAATCAATTTGATTCAAGACTGTTATAAATGTATTATTAACTAATTGTAAATAAAATAAATCACGTATAATTAAATTTATGTTAATTAGAAGGGCTTGATGGATTTGAAGAATTTGATAAATGGAGAAAATGGGAGAATTTGAAGACTCTTAAAAAGAGTGCTAATGGAATGTGATAATGCGCAAGAACATGAAACATTCAAAGAAGCAATAAGGTACGAAGAATCTGAGGAATCTAAAACTGAAAAAATCGAAAATCTAAAAGCCAAGAATATCAAGCATCCGAAGAAATGAAAGCTATTAAATAATCTTAACAATTACAGAAGAAATTTGGACAGTCTACACAAACGGATTATCCAAAGAACAGAAAGAACTCCAAAGTGTCCGAAGTATACAAAGGGCTCGGAAAATCTTGAAAAATTCTCCCAGAAGCCATGGAAAAGGAAATCTCGAAAAACTCTACAATATGCATTGTCTATATTCTCTACGTGCTAAAAATTGCTTAAGTCATCATTAACACGTAAATTACTATAGTGGAACATAGGCGTTTAACATGGGAAATTACTTTTTCTTTGCGCAAACGTTTCCTAATTATTTTACGCAAAAATACTTCAAATAAAAGTTATAGAGATATAAATTCTGCATCTAAATGTGAAACGATTATTCTACCTCTTCTTGTACGCGAAAAAATTACTTATAAAGTATCTGTTTTCACGAGTTTTTAGTCTAAGTAGCCATGGACTATGATAAAAGAAAAACATAGTCCGTGGCTACTTAGACTAAAAACTCGTGAAAATAGAATCTTTATAATTAATTTTTTCGCATACAAGAAGAGGTAGAATAATCGTTTCACATGATTTAGATGCAGAATTTATATCTCTATAACTTTTATTTGAAGTATTTTTGCGTAAAATAATTAGGAAACGTTTACGCAAAGAAAAAGTAATTTCCCATGTTCCATTTTTCTATTTACACCCTGTACATTACATTACTGAGCTGTCATGCGTCCATAAAATTTGAATACAGCAGATTTCATGCAGTTTGTGACACAAGAACTTGTACCTATAGTGTCATACAGAATACCATCATGCACACAAGAATCTACAATAAAATGCATATCATTTCCTATACAGTTTCTAAATAACGGGATATTCGGGATTTCGCCTAGAAAACGCAGCCTAGAAAAGTTCGCTCTGAATAAAACCCATCAGTAAGCAAAATCGTTTTTTCCGCCTATGATCAATGACAAATGGGATTGTGATGAATTGTTGCCAGTAGGAGTCTTTAGGAGAGGCTCATCGACTGAATCAAAAGTTTTGCTTGGGGCCAACTACCCGTTGGTGGAATGTTTTAAGAAGCTAACAGTGAAAATTTACCTGGGGAAAATCGTGTATATTCCGAATCGAAATGACTTGGGGGGCAAATACCTATCAGAGCCGAATTCTCAGGGGAGAACTTACTGGGGATGATTAAATTGTAAGTCAATTCGTTCAACGTTTGTTTAAGTTATGCTGTTCAAGAGCTAGTCTAAAATAACTCAAACTTAAATCGCTTGGCGTAATAAAGTTAGAAAACTTGCTTGGTATATAAGTGATATCAAGTTAAGCACAAATTAAAGCTTGAAGGGAATTGTAAATAAAAACCGGAACGTAATTAAATTTACTTTTGTTCTATGAACGTATTTTATTTCTCGCTCTGACTGATTGAAGCCGCACTTTACCTTTAAAACGTTTTTAGTTCGCTGATTATCATTTTTCAGAGTTATATATTTGTAACATGTCCTGAAGAGGATATTAAAAAAGTGATCACGTCTTTCGCCAGTAGTTTCCTGTAAAGTCGCTATGATTGGATATCGCAGATTAAGAAACCGTATTCTGTGACAGCTGTCCCAGAAAGAATTTTGTTGTCACAAGTTATTAAATTTACTGCTATTTGCGGCAAGCTTACCTTGTACGTAAGTACCGCCAAAAAAAAATCGAACGACTGATTGGAAAACTAAAAAGTAATCTAAAAGCGCTGTGGTTCAGACATTTGAAAGCAGTAGGTACATATGTCGTATCAGAAAGCTGAACTGGACTTTTCTTTTTTCTAGTTGTCCGCCGTAGTGGATGGAGTGTATGCTGACCATTCGCACATCGCTGGAAAATTCACTATGCTGTCATCGAGTCGTGTGTATGTAGGAGGAAGTATCAACACAAGGGCACTTCCTGGGGCTCGAGTGCACAGTAACTTTGTGGGGTGTATGCGGAAAGTAAGTGTACTCAAAATGCTTTTATCGACATTTCAGCATATAAATTTTAGGTGGAATTTGTAGCAGACACTTTAAGATTAAATCTACTGGAACTAGGAAAATCCGGCAGCCACCTCATTTCTGTGGCTGGCCGTCTTGAATACAAATGTCCATCTGGTGAGACACGTGATCCGATAACATTCACCACAAGGGAATCGCACCTGGTAAGGATATTTTTTGGCCATATGTTGCGTACGATTTTTCGTCACGTACGAAACGCGCAAATCTAATGCAGCGTGAAAGAGAGAGAACGAAATGAAGGACGAGTTTTATGCGATACTTTATTATTTTTCCTGGTTACTACCTATGGGTATTGATTCATTGCAGATTTTGCCGGCGTGGAATGCTAAGAAGTCGGGAAATATTTCCTTTAAGTTTCGCACAAATGAAGCCAACGGTTTGATCCTTTTTAACGGTGGTATACGACCGCCGAGGGTAAGTGTCTAGCAAATTTCTCGCTACCGTTTTTTTGCTCATTTAGGAAGATAAAGTAGAGATTAATTTGTTTTTTATGAGGAATATGCACCCCACTAAAAGCTTTTTATGTGAGTTACTTGTGATAGTTACACTTTTATTAATCCTAGGGGCCGTTCAATATATTATTCAATCTGACAACGAGAAAAATATTTTCGCTTGGTGTGTGAGCAATAAATTGTGTTGCCTGCTGGAATATAAATACCCTTCTCCTATTATTGCTTGTGTGTTATTAATTTATGTGTTTTGCATGTAACTTTAGCAGGTATCTAACTTGAAAGACATTTACACATGAATGAGTTTAAACCGTCCCAACTCACGTTATAATACGCTAGCTTTTTTTTCAATTTCAATCAATTGTCAGTTTCCTCAAAAATAAATTGTTAACTGAGACTATGGGTTGTATCAGTTTATAAATATTAACACGAAAGCTAAAAACCACCTTCAATTTCTATTACGTGAAAGAAGTCGCTCCGTGTAACCTCATTTGTATCAATCACCCTTTCGTGGCAACCCCATAATGGGTGATCTAAGTTATGATCCGTCAATTTCAAGATATTTGTTTCCAAATTATAACTGAAAACTTTCGAAAAGGTTCGGAAAATAACGTTCCTATAAAACATCATCCACAAATAGAAGCCGACAACGAAATCACGCATCGACAAACTTTCTTTTTTCTCCCCCTCGCCTCGTGACGAGATTTTGTTATAAAGCTTACAGTTTTAAATTTACCAAATTTGCCTTTAATTAAAAGCAGTGATAGACAAATTTTCATTAGCCGTGTCTGAAATGTCGTTGTGTATTTTATTTACTCTCCCTCACTATTTAAACTAGAAACGAAGTTTCTTCACCCTACGTAACGGAAACTAAACGGATGAAAAATTCCGCACTCTTTTCTCGATTAAACCGAAGGCTCTCAAAATTCCCAAATGTGTGTTCCTTTTCTTGGAAACCATTTCACATTGAAGGTCGGAGCTAAGCACGGAAAATGCTTTCTTAGGCCCTAACACATTAATTTCTGCCCGTTTTGTTTTAATTTGTGCGCCAATTTCCACGTTTTGTTCGTCAATATTAAGGACAATAGATAATTAATATATGTACAGTGTGTAGAGCGACGTTATTGGTACTTTCAAAGCAAGCAAAAAATATCATGAAGAATACATTTTTTTCATAAATCAATATTTAAAAAAATTCCCTCTTTTATATCTCATCGCTTTACACACTGTACAGTGAAACAAATGATTTTCAATTCTAATGACGTCTGTCATTCTTATTTAAAAAATGGGACGCGACGCACGAAATAAAATGAAGTTCAGAACAGAAAACGATATTGTTTCTATGGAAACGACGGGGGAAGTTTGCTATTTTTGATGTCTAAATTAAAAAGAGAATTTTTAGAAATATTATAATTACATGGTTTCTATTATAAAATAAGGTTTTGTATTATATACGACAATAAGGGGAAACCATCTCGTAAAAGGTCATTCACTCGATGGTTAAAAGTTAAAACATCCCTTTATCGTCTTATATAATATTAGTTAATTAGGAAATTTTTAGAAAACATACTGTGCAAATTACTTTTTATTTTAGAAAAAAATTATACGCAGTGCTGATGAATTTATGTCAAATTTCGTAGTCATGAAAACCCACTTTTCACTATATCTGAAATGAATTAGTAAACGCAGTTGCGGTAATATTTGTCATTATTAGTGGCTGTTGTTTCAATAACTGTCAAGAAAGTAACATTGCTCATATTTCCTTCTTTTGTTGTACTTTTTTTATATTTTCTAAACTTCTTCTCATCTGTCTTTCTTTCTCCGTCATTGTTCTGTAGCTGTTTCTCTTTTCTGTACAATCGTTGTCGCACCCTTCCTTTCTGTTATCTCTCCCTTTCCTTTGATTTATATGTGCCACTTTATTATCTTTTTAGAGATCGTTCCAAAACTAAAAGATGATTGCGTAGAAACCAATGTTGGCACAAATGCAAATATCTAACCCAAAAATGTTGGCATTATGTTTGACCTGTTTACAGCTGTTTTTGTATTCCAGAACAAAAAGACGGATGTTCTTTTGTGATCGTAATACAAACACACTGCAACGACATCATACATGCGAAAAACGTAATTCCATGTAAAAAATACATGCCCAATAGATCCACATAAAAGACTACCAAGAATTTAAAATGTGTCAGTGTGACTGTGCAACGAACACATTTTAACATTTGCCCAGACATGGATCCTACCAGGATTTTAAATGGGACCGATGTGATTTTGACACCATGTCCAAATCCAATTTTAAAACGCATTTTGTTAATCTGAAAGCCCAGGAAGAGTTTCAAATGCGCCTAGTATAAGGCATAACACCATAAACTCCTTTATGTTCTAAGCCTTAAAGAAATAACACGCCACAGGCCTGTAAAATGCCGGGAATGTCAACTGAAAAAACCGCGCATCGTGTTTAGAGCGAATATTTTTAGGTTTTCGCACGATCGCGAAATCCCGAATATACTTGACGCGCATCCCACCATCTTTTAGTCTTGGAGCGGTTTTCAAATTTTTTCACTCCTCTGTAAACTCTCCCATTTCTTCTTCATGTTTCTCTAGTCTCCTTCCAAGTCTCCACAGTGTTTCTTGTTCATAAGTTTATCTCCCTTCGTTCTGTTTCTTGATCTTCTTACCTCCCTTTTAGACACATTTCTATGGTTTTAAATTCTTTTATTTCTTCCAGTACTTTTTCGTTTACTTGTATATAATCAACTGCCGAACTCCCTCTTTCTCCTATGTATGTGTATATTCCCTTCCTATCTCTACTCATATTTCTGTTTGATATTATCCATCCTCTCTTTTCTCATAATTCCAGTAACACTTCTTCCTCTTTGTTGCATTCTTAATTTCTTGATTTTGTGTTCCTCTTCCCATCTCCAGCCATTTTCCTTTAGTCCTTCTTTTGCTGTTTAAATCTCTCCCCAATATTAGCCCCTCCTCTTCCTTTCATCTACTATATCTTCTATTTTATTTTTGAACTTTGTCATTCCTTCTCTATTGTATATAGTTATCAATCTCACACCTTCCCTCTCTGTCATCCCCCCTCCATTCAATTTTTACCCTTGCTGGCGTGCATATGTATTAACTCGGTGCCCTAATCTTTATTGTCTCCTACTTTATTTCTTCTATCCACAGCATCAAATCATCTTACAAACTTCCACAATTGAACGTCTTTGCTTCCAACCCCTGACACAATCCAGAACATCATCTTCAATCTACATGTTGCTCCTCGCCCTTATTATTTCATTTAGCCCTTTGCTTCTGTTGTTCGTTTCCGCATTCTTCCCTCGTATGGAAAACATAAGCATTTTCTTTTCATGATACGGGCGGACTGGCAGAAACACGAAAACATAGGCCTTCTCATTTTATGAGTGACTAAAAACATTTAAAAATGGCCCTGCGAGGTTACGCACGATTTCAATCTTCCCGCAAGAGAGGCAACAAAATTGTCGTGTCAAATCTGCTGAATCAACTCACGAAAATTTTTGGATACGAGTAGAATTCAACTCAAAACGGTGACGGAACCCACTAGGTACCCTCTCACAGTTATTTAAAATGGGTTTCGCTTGCTAGAACCATAGTATTTGTGTTATATTATGCTAGAACGTAGTGAAAAAACTACTTATAACCCTCATATGGATTTTGCCATGCAACACTTCATTGTACAGTACAATAACATTTCACTCAAGGGGTCGTCATTCACTGGATAGTTCAAGCGTTTCACTATCGTTTAATAGTACTTCAACTTGCCGTAGCCTCAACCTCAACGTCATAGAATGTGGTGGTACTTACACGTTCTGATAAGGCACGACAATGGACTTGACGATGATAAATTTACACACTTTAAGAGCGTATACTGTCATTTTATTTCGATCAATACTTAGGAACGCAACCAAACGAAAAAAAGTTCAAGCGTATTGCTACAAACTTAGTGGTAGAACGAATGCAATCAAAAATATAAAGGAGTGTTGACATAAATAAACAAATAGAGGGCCAATATAAAACTAATTACAAACCAAGGTAAAAAGGAATCCCACTTCAAAAGTGGAAAAAAGTACTGAATAATAGAATACTACACAAGCACATATAAATGTTTCTGGATTTCCTACGCACTTTTCGTTAATTTACCGTAATCAAATATTCAACTACACAGTAATACTCTGCCCAAGTACTTTTTTACGAAGTCGGCAAAGACCAAATTAAAATTAAAATGTAGTAAGAGGGTCGATATTTTCTTTTCACTATACCTCCACCTACTGTACCGAAGCGACGTAAGAATATTAAATTCTTTTATTAAAATTTTATTTATCAATACAACCCCACAATTTAAAAAATATAATTTTCCCTGGTTTTACGTTAGAGATCCCAAATTGTTATCCTTGATGGAAGAATTTCAATTGGAAGTCCACTCGAGGTAAGTATAGGCAGGGAGAAAGCGTCATCATGGTTTAGAGATCATTCTCGCAAAACTAAATCACGTACGCGGCACATGTTTGGAAAACAAACAGCCATCTTCATGGTAAAGTAAAATATACGGGAAATATACATAAATCATAAACTTATTCAGGGCGCGCGTTTAACCTCCTTTCGGCGATTAATAATTTAGCGAATGTTCTCGGATTGAACTAGCGAAGGCGCATGAATCAAATTTAAGCTGTAATGTGAAGCAGTAATAACGTTGATTATTAGGGAGACCGATGTTCACACAATTCAGCAATGTCATTAATTCTGCGTCCCTCAAAATGGCTTACATTCAACAAATTATTCAATGCCACAACGATCGTTGCTGTTTTCAAATGATCACGGTGGCTTGTTATTTAATTGAACAAAAAAAGGTTACTGTCAAAATTTCTTTCCAACTGTAAAGATGAATGTTGGACGCCGATTACTACCAGCAGCCAATCTCTTGGTTCGTCG